GTATCGTTGCTTAGATTTAATATTTTACTCTACTTTGTGCTATATTTTATCTTATTTGACTTTTAATCAACGTATTTTTATCTACGCTCTATCCACGAATTTTTTGCCTATTTGTTCATTATATAGATAGCATTTGCACTCCATCCTTTCATGGTATCAAAGAAAGTAACTAATTTTTTGTGGTTCTATTTACTTATCAAGAATTTAACGAAATCTTCTATCCATTATGATACCAGTTTGGAATTTCAAAATCAATTTATGTGATCGTTGCATTTTCTGAAATACTAGAAAATCTTGTTAGAATATCTCCAACTTTTATATTCATCATTTTTGTACAGAAAATCCCGTAATTTGCTTCTACTATTACACTCATTTTCAAATTTTATCCCTAATTTAGTGCCATTATTTCTGTCATAATCTCTAAATATGCAGTATTGTAGTATGTTAATCAAAGGTATGAAGACAAAGAAGATGCCATTTTGTATAAAAGTTGTTTGACCTTGTTTTCGCAACTTGGTCATATTGGTAGGAAAACCTAGAGGAACGGACCTAGTCTAGAGTCCATAGTAAGATTGTTAATTTCCAGAGTCGGACAGTGGACGTGGTACATTCCCAGATGTTTCGCCTTCATCGACATTGAGCCTTGCCATTCTTAGCACCGCACTACACCTCGTCAAAGAGACAAGTAAAGCCGATCCTTAGACCAAAATATCTGCTAAACAGTTGTGCAATCTCTCCTTTCCTGGGCTATTCACCAATTCTATATCCTCGTTCCACACCTTCACTATAACAATTTCATTTTCAATATGGTATTTTCTGTGCTTTTAAGCGGATTTCGTGATAACTCTACTCACCCCCTGACCCCTATTTATCCTTTGTGCTGGGAATGTTGATCAATCTGTCTTATTATTTCCCAATCCTATCCCAATAGGTGCTTTCAGCATCTCTTGCCCCGTAGTATCCGCTTGCTAGCTTCCTGGTTCAGGCATTTTACTCGACCTCTGCCACCCCCTATCTATACTAATCTTAGTGTTATTTCCCACACCATATCAAGCTTTGGATGACACCACTCCCGCTTCGCAGAGTATGCCCCTAAAAATCAGGGTTCTCAAGCTAGATGTGAGACTAATTTGAGGCTAAAGATCTCTTATAACTAGTATTGTCAAGCCTTTGCTTTATGGATGACGTCTATGATCAAACACGTCTACTGTTAACCAACCAGCATTTGTCTCTAACTCATTGTGCTTCTATCCATAGTGCCAAGTCTATCACATCCTATGCCCTAGCTTCTTGCGTGCCATACTAACAAATGTTGTCGTTCTGCTTCCTTTGATTAGGTTCAATGTTAAGCCACAACGTTTGTGGGCTGACACACAAGAGACTAGGGCATAGCAAGTCATAGACTTGGTATTACAGATAGAAACAGGATAGACGCCGAGGAGGCTAAAGCTATTTGTTTTCGTATTAGAGTAGAGTTTCGAGACTACCAGTAAATCAATAATATGAGATGTATTTACCTTATTTCGTCTAAGGTGATTGAGGACTGCTAGTAGAATTTTCCCACAATGATATGAGTTGAGCTGAAGTCTCCATTAAATTTCATATTGCCTTGCTTTCCCAAAAGTTGTTCTCATCCAGGGTGGACTGCAGCTTCGACCTCGTATCGGTCTTATCAACACCCTCAGCGGGAGTCGAACCGCGACAGTGCAGGATGAGAGCTTGACACACTAACCACTCGGCTACACTTCCACGAGTACCCTTGAGTCACAGGGCATAAGTGAATTTCAAGGAAGGTCAGACCTTTTTGCTATATCATATTCTTTGGTGGGAGTACCGATGAAGCAAACGTTTATTTGATATAACAATCGACGTTACTTATTTTCGTTATGGAGTAAAGTTTCGAAACTACCAGTAAATCAGTAATATGAGATGTAAGCACAATATTTATGGCGAAGACTATAGCTAGTCTGATTTTAGGTATCTACTCAGCGAGGTGGGAGTATGCGTGCCATCAAGGGCTTGTGACAATGCGGGAAATAACTCTTCGATTAGTACAGATAGGGTGGCAGGGGTAAAGTGAAATACCTGAAGCGAGAAGGTAGGAAGCGGATCCTACTGGGCAAGAGAGAGAGTCGGATAACACGTATGAGAAAAGGATTGCAGGATGAGATGAGAAAGCTAGGGTAGGGCGGTGGGAATGGGGTAACTATTTCTCATTAACTTCGCCCAAAAAAATTTCACACCATTTGACATTCAAATAAGCAATTAAGCATTTGTGATAGTAAAGGAGGGATATGAGAATATACGGTTAGTAAATAGCCCAGGACGGAAGGAGAGATACTACGATTGTTTAGCAGACAATTGGTCAAGGGTCGGTCTTATTTTATCTTTGACTCGTAATGGTGTGGTGCTACGATTGGCTAGAATACCTGACGATGCATGTGAAACGTCTGATAATGTATGAAATCCACGGTCTGACTCTGAAAATTATCTTTCATACTCTCAAATACGGACGCGTAGTATTTTATTTAGTAAATAATATTCACTTTTTATAGAAACCCTCTTGAAACTTAATTCTTGCAACTTACCTTTCAGGTCATGCTCTTCTTGAGCCTGCTAGAAGCTAGCGTGATGGCAGGTGACAAAATGCTCGTATTCAGCCAAAGTCTGTATACTCTTGATCTACTCGAACGCATTCTTCGTCGTCTTCCACTCCCTGATTCCTACGCAGAGGATTCTCGACGTCTAACACGCCGATCTGATGGTCAATACACACCAGGGGATTACGGAATCTCAGACACTGAAGAGCCAGGGAAGATCGATTTTCGTGTTGAGTCGTCTATTTGTAAAAATAAAATGTCTAATTCCTTATGGAATACCGATGACGAGTCTCGGCAAAACCATTTGGATGACATAGACAAGAAAGAAAGTAAATTGGATAGAAAGAAGAACGAGAATGTGGATCAACTCGATGGTATGAAAGTGGAAATGCCTTTAGCGTGTAAATCACGAGCACGCATAAACCTTAATGTTTCAATTTCCAACTCCGCTAAATTTGAGCTAGACGATGCATTTAACTCAACTAAGTCTGATAAAATGGAAGAGTCCTATATGTCTATTTCTAAAGGGGATGAACAATCGGGC